GCTATTGTTCAAAGTTGATCGATTTTCTGACAGATATGAGGTCCGAAGGGGAACCAACGATGTAGAACCCCATAAAATTGTATGCTCTTTTATTCTAGATACCTTTCGAGAAGATCTGAAATGGGGCTGATCCTCGTTCTTATTGCACCCCGTCCTTTGAAAAGAAAGATCGACAATGAACTAATTCATTTAATGTTTCGTTGATATTTGTTGGTCTCTTCTACTGTTAGTTTTTCTCAGTTATTTTTCCAGATATGAAATTTGGCGTGGATAACACTATTATCATCTGGCAGTAGATCATCTTTATAGAAGTCAGCTAATTTTTTAACATCATCGACTGTTTTATTTACCACATAAACTGGAATTGAACTCATTATTTTCACAACTATTTTATGATTTTCACTAAATCTGAATGATAATTGATCAAGAGTTGTTTGCATGAATACTTCATAAATATGTTTTAATATCATTTGATTGTTTTATGTTTACTTGTTCTTGATACTTTTAACTCAACATTATTATCTCGACAAAATTGTTCAAAATCATTTTGTAATTGATCGAGTTTAGTTTTATCATACTGTAATACGGTCAAATACCTTTCAATATTTTGAATATTATTATAATATTGAATGAGATCTAAATGTACATGATCTACGTACACATTTGACTGACAAGACGACTAACTAACTCACCACATTTCTTATCTTACAGCGCATCGCAATATGGTTTTGTAACAGGAAATATCTTTGACACAACAAACAGTGAAATTATAAAGTCAATATCGGCAACACATTTTAAATAAGTTCTTTAAAAAGTTTAAATTAAAGTTAACTTATTTATAAATTAAACTTATTAAAGTTTAAATAAGTTCCACTCGTTTCTGCATCGCCATTCTGCATCGTAAATTCTAACAGAATAACAACGGCAGAATACATGTTTATCTACCCAACGATGCTTTGCTAATTTTGTTAGTTTTCTTTTTCTTTTGAATACATGTGGTTGCTGCGATTTGAGCAGAAATTGACACTTTGGTGACGAATTAAAAATATTTAATTATTACTTTAACTGATCCAAAAAATGATTTTATTACATTCTCATTACATGCGCTACATAGTGCTAACCCCAATGAATGACTTGAGCAGTGAATATAAATCATCAGCGGTATAAACGCCCAAAGCGTTTACTTTCAGAATCTGTATCACTTTTTGACTCAAAAATAAATTTTCATGGTTTTAGAGGAGGGTTTTTCAAAAGCATAAAAAAAAACATTCAAATTCTATTTTTTTCATGAGACTTATGTAATCAAACTGTTTTTTAATCTTGCAGATTTGTAGAGCAACCTTTTCTGGTTAAAACAAGACATTGCACAACTCTGTGTGGTTTTCTGCTAAAAAGCTACAAGCATTTTCCTACAAGCCCTAAAGTCTGATTTTATGAGAACATATATGAACCATCAAACGAAACAATCTTTCGTTTATTCAGTCGCTAAATACAGAAAAGAACGAGTTAAAGTTGGTTGAAGGGGTTTCTGATCAAATATGTATTCGTTCTTCTATAAACGAATAATTTTAATCTGTAAAATATTAGCTGTAGAAATACATGGAGCATTTTAAACAAATTTTAGTTTTACAATACTGATGGAGACGTGGTTCTGTTTTCAATCTTTTCGCAATTCTAATTTTAAATTGGTCTCATTTCAACTTTTAAAATCAGTTGTGTGTTTAGTTCAGATATACATATGTGGTATCTACAGCCAACTTTTTAAAAAGTCCCTCCTACAAAATTCTTTCTTTTGGCTAACTCTTGGTGTAATTCGATTTTTAAAAGTGCGTAATAGAATGTCAGTCAACTACTCAAACCAACCGTTAACTTTTTATGTGATATCTCTCTCTAGTTTATTATATTAATTTGTGATATTGAATAAAAAATCACACATTTGGAACTTTTTCGTGTGAAACCACAGATGGTGAAGAAAAAAAGACATGTGTTTTGAAAAAAATGTCGGTATCATTAACAATTATTTATCAAAAATGAAAATTTATTGTCTAGTGTTAACTGTTGTTTACATAATATTTGATTTTAATTATTCTTGTGTTAACTCATGCGGCATCATCACACACATTGAAATCTCTTATCGTGCTCAAGATTTATGGAATCATCGTCCAAAATATCAACAACTCGTACGAAAACATCAAGATGCATTGCAAGGTGGTAGTCCGTATCCAGATGTGATGTATGATGAAGTGTGCTACAAAGGAAGTTTACATTCAGTTGCTGAAGATACACATTGGTATGTTCAACATTTATGATTTAATTTGGTATAAAAATATTTTTTCTTATACTCTTCAGGTATCCATTCATGAAAACGGCTATCAGTTACTTAAGAAAAATGTATCCACCGCCAATAACAGAAGACGGTGAGAAATTACTTGTGTTTCTGCTAGCAGTTGGGGCTCACCAAGTATCCGATGTCGTTTGGCACGCCAGTTTAACCGGTTGCCCGAATGGTTTTATCGATGGTGATGCTTGGAACGATTTTCATGATGACCGTTCGGCAGCTCATTCGAGTGTTGATCCTGGTGGAGACTCGATTTGTGATTATGAGTTACCAATAGGATATATTGGTTTGGTAAACCGTTGGTATGTGCCAAGTGAACATTTACAATCAATTTACAAACAATATGCCGATATATATCACTCACCATTAGAATTGAATGCCACTGCTCAAATTGTCGAAATATGCAGTGATCTAATGTTTATTGGACGTTTTTTTGATGATTTATTTCTCGGTGTAGAATACCCAAAATATTCAAAAAATAATACATTTCTGTTAGAAGAACTTTATGATTATTACTATGGCGGAATAGAAAATATGGCACGAGAAACCGTTCGTTATTGGGATTCTATTATTGACATGTACGAATTCGGGACGGATATATGCGCAGACAGTGATAATCCATACTACTTGAATTGTTCAAGCCAACAGTATAGTCATAAACAACAGCAATCGATAGCGTACGTCGAGAGTAAAGCAAGAAATACCCATTTACCATTTACTCAACATTCTTTACCGTTGTTGTCAGATTTGAAATATACAAATGTTGATACTGGACTAATATCAAATCAAAGTTATGCAGATTTTGGTCATTCATCGTTGATTGCTGACTTTAACAATGATAGTTTTGACGATTTAGCTGTTAGCGCACCCAATTATTACATTCTTGGCTGTCCACAAGGTGGAAGAGTGTTTATTATTTATGGTCAAAAGGGCCAGGCTCTTGTTCCCGAACGAAATATATCCATAATTGAACAATTAGCTGATCAGACACTGATTTCTCCGTCGTGTGACGGTGATCGTTTTGGAACATCGTTAACTACTCTTGATTGGAATAAAGATGGATTTAATGATTTGGTGATTAGTAGTCCATCCAGAAAGTTTGGATTCAAAGGTTCTGTATTCATATTCAGCGGTGGCAAGAATGGCCTAGAACCATTGCCATCTGTACAAATTGATGGCGTTAATGAGCATGATACTGTTGGATGGAATATTCAGGGTGCACATTTAGATAATGATCAATCACTTGATCTTATAATATCGAGTCCATTTGCACAAAAAAATGGTTATGATCAACCTCAACAAGGTGTTGTTTGGATATTTTTAAATAGCATTGGAAAAACTAATTTAACCGTCCAAAATGCCACATATACAATATGGGGTGAAATCCCAAAATCAAAATTTGGTTATTCAATAACGATCGTTCCCACATCTTGTACAACAAATGAAAAACCAATTCTAATGATTAGTGCACCCAATTATGTTCTACCTGACACACCTCAAAGTCAAGGTGTTGGAAAAGTGTATGCATACACAATTAGTGAACAAGGACCACAACTAGTATTCTCTGTAACTGGTAATGATATGGATCATTTTGGTCATAGTTTATCAATCGAAAAACAACACTGCACACTAGCAGTTGGCGCGCCAACAAGTTCAACAGACTGGGAGGGTGCAGTTATATTATTATCATTACCAAAAATATTAAAAAAGTCTAATAAAAAAAAATCTTTATCATTGAATGATATTCCACCGCTTGCTATAATCGTGGGTGAATTGAGATTTCAAAGATTAGGTACAACAGTACACTGGACAAATACATACGATCTAGTTCTGACAGCTCCTTTAGGAAAATCGCTATTAGCCTCGGAAGGTCGTGCTTATATTATCGAAGCTAGTCGCATTCCTTTAACACCGACGAGTGAACCGATTTCAATTACAAAAATTAGTTCAAAAACACTTGTTGCAGATAATAGAATTAATCGTTTTGGAACACATTCAAATATACTTTCTTCACCATCGATGAATTTGACATATTTTACCATTTCGTCTCCATTTACACCTTCAAAGGAGGAAACTGTTCGTCTTCCAGGAGCTCTATATTTTTATAAATTATGATCTCATTTTTCTTTATATTTAATATTGTAGTTCAACCGAGTTAATAATGTCAAATAACGTGAACTATGTCAAAAACTAATGTAGAATCAGCTGGTTGAACTAGAGATGCAGAATCTACTAGATCATAGGCACGCGCTTGCGTGGAAAAATTTTGAGAAGTGTGTAAGTCGTCGGTTCATACAACCTTTGAAGAAGAAAAAATGTTTTTGGAAATGTGCAACAGTGATATGGCTGTAAATTTGATAACAGGCAGATCCTGCTGCGTAGACGATGTGGGACATCTGTCCTGTTCCTTTCAATCAACAGTCGAATTTCAAAATATATCGCTCGCTCTTCTTTCTCTTCAAAACGTATCACAAGCAGCGGAAAACGACGAAAATATAGCAAATAGTTTTCGGCAATAAAAAACATCCAATTCTTTCAATTTTTAAAAAGTTGAACTTTTATATTTTTAAGTTATAATTAAAGAAAGAAAATTTTTCAACAAATCTATTTTTAAAATGCAACCCAAACATTTCCCTACAAGACAGTTATTGAAAAACTTACTCAAAGTTTTTTGAGATGGTTATTGGAAAGAACATGGTTCTTACGAAATTGCCCTAACGAACACATACTCTGCCATCTAAAATAATGAGCTACGTTACTTTAATTTAGATTTATAAACTGATCTGCATTCCTTTATCGATTATTTTCGACAAACTTAACTGACCAATTGCGGCCAAGCTTGCTGCAATACGCTTGCAAAGACGGCTGAACGAAAATGAGAAAATATGAAATAATTCAATTTCGGCTAACGTTGGTTCCAGTAATTGATTATACATGGCCATTGTTCCAAATGTACCTTACAAAAGGACTAAAAGGGTAAAAGACTAAAAGGGTAAAAGACTAAAATATGAAATTCAATTCTCTATACTTTATATTAGACATACACCGGTTACGGTGATTAACGAATAACCAAAGTCGGCAAAAACTGATGATCGGTGAACCGGAATGACCGATACTTTAGTTTGATATAATGGTCGAACAGAATAAAATGTAATTTTGTTATGGTTGGAATAGCCATATTCTTTTTTACAGATAACATAACTGGAAAGAGAATGGAAATCGTAAGGTAAATTTCTGTTTGGCTGTCGTCTCATTGCAGTGTGCAAAGTTTGTGCTGCTGTTTCGACGATAAAATTTGTAGATCTTTACAGATTATTAACTGACATTGAAGTGCTGTCAGCCGCTTTTTAGTTTTCTTACCTTCTCCTTCCTTACTTCGTTAACTGTTCTGCATCTTTTACGTTTTTTTATTCTATCTGTGGGGTAGAGTCAGAAGTTATAGGCTTTTTGATGGCATCAGTCAAATGTAAACATAACTAAGCAGTCGAATTACTTCTTGTCTTAATCATAACTTTTTTCATCTCCAATGTTTCCATATTAATAACACTAATTAGCGTAGAAGTTTCGCAGTTGTTCTTGAACGTCGATACGACATTCTGTAATGACTATAACCGAGGCGCCCTCGGTAAAAATGTACGTTTTTTTTCTTCGTTGTTTATCCCAGTGTCATGCAATGGGCACACCCCGATTTAATCACTGTTTCTTCCATATTAAAGTTTAAACCAAAATGTACCACGTAACACCATTTATGTTATAGAGAGGCAGTCAGAGATTCGTAACTAGAGTGTGCTAACGTGGTCTAAAATCGCGACAATATTAGATTAAATGTTTGATTATCGAAAAAAAGAGAAGACTTTATATTTATTCACACTACGTATTCATGGGCGGTTCGGGAAACTTTTTCTATGATCAATAAACTTTCTAGAGTGTGGTGCATGCAGAAGTGTCCTTCGTGGAGACATACGTAATTTTGCAATCAAACATTGTTCTTTTCTTTTATTTCGAATTTTGAGAAAATACACTGCTGCGAAATATAATTAATAATAATAATAATATCCTGACTAGTAGACCCAGTCGTCAAAGGCATGGAAATGGAGCGGTGGAGTACGAAAAACACGAGCAAAACACTTCTTTAGCCATTTTTTCTCTCATAATGGAAAATTATGTGTTTTCAAAACACACCATTCGATAGCCCTTGAGATTCTCTACAGACTGAGCAAGTTAGAATAGCTAGACAGGTGCGTCCAGTCATCAAAGACGTGCAAAAGAAGCGTTTGGGTGTTATATACGTAGTACAGTGTTTCATAATTATAAGAACTCCTTTGTTTTTGATTTTTCAGTAAAAGCTGTAATCAATGTGAATACTGATTTGAATAGCCCGAAGATTTTCCTATCAGATGAGGTGCATATCGTCATTTTATTAAAGAAGTGTTCTACCCGTATTTTTCTTACTCCAACGCTCCTTTTGCACGTCTTTGATAATTGGACCCACCAGTCAAGGTGTTCCAATTAGCTCAGGTTGTAGAGAATTTCAAGGGCTATCTATTCGTGTATTTAGTTAGTCTTTTTGAGTTTAAGAAAGTTGAGAAAAGCAGCGTTTACTCATCGAGTAGGCCTCGTTTTGAGGGTGTCGGTTGGAATGATATTGTAAAGAAATTGACGGGATTTTAGTGTACAAATGTATTGGATAATCGAATACTAGTAGTTTTGTCCTCTATTTTTTCCTCTAACCATTAGTCGAAAAACTGAGTGGGCCGATTATCAACTTTATGTAGACCTCTCCTTTGTCTCTTTGCTTTTTTTGGATGAAACTGAATAGTTTTAACGTAAAATATCACGAGTTAGAGTATTTCAGTTATAATCCGAATAAGTACAAACAAGTAAACTTGTGCGATATTGTTCACTTTTTCATTACAATATTCATCGATATGACAAATAATGTATGTCGATGCAAAATGATAAACAGCCTAAATTTGTAAAAAAAATACGGACGAAGTGGAAAAAGGTTCCAGTTTTTTGTTCAAACCGGCAATGTGTCAACAGAGATAGAAGATTTCGTGATTGAAGATTGCAAATCAGACGACCCAACGGACAATCACTCTACCGTTTCTCGCAAAAATAAGCCGGATCTAAAATCTACACCAGAGATTCATCTAAAACCTGAGCAACAGCCCGTAAAAAATTGGGACGTTTGCTGGAGATTCAAATTTGTACTATATTGTAACTGGTCTTGTGGTTTAGAAAAGACTGCCAAAAACAGGTCAGTTATAAGTGATGGCAGCCTTTTTAATAAAGTTGATCTGAAGATAGTTAACAAGAATCCATTTGGCTTTTGGCACTTCCGCATATCAATCTACTAAAGTGAATAAAGTGCTACTAAAGTGAATAAATGAATTTTTATTTCAATTTAGTGAATGATCATATTCGTATTATATGTCATCAAGGGTAACCATCTCTTTTTTTAGAAGAAAGCCTTATTCTTGAGTTGAACTGGGTGTATTATAGAGTAGACTGCCCGTCCTCTACAAAACAAAATCTATCATCAAGAATATCCAAAGTTTATTGCATTTCGCTGAAAAACTTTATTTATTAAGTTTCAAAAGTTTGTTCAACTAGTTGGTCTTGTAGAGCAAAGTTTTCTACACAACGAGATGTCTTCCAGTTCTCCATAATCTTTTCAAAAGTTATAAGCATTTTACCAAAGAGTCTCAAAAACCTGATCTCTGTGATACAACATCCGATGTTCAAATCCTGATTCTACCTAATGTGGTTACATTATGATCTGTTGGTGATAATTTAAGACTGTATTTCTAGAAACCTATAGCCAAAATTGTGTCACATTAGTCTGAGAAAAGATTCATCGATTTTTTTATTCGAAATTTGGGCTCAATCGGATCTTTGTTTCGGTCTTTGTCAACAAGATGAAAAAAAGAAAGAACAATCCTTAAATACGGTTTCATTTTCGTGCACAATAAAGGGATTGAAAAATCGTCTAACTTTGACGAAGACCAAAAATAGTTCATCTAACTAATAAATAACAAAGGCGTATTTATAGTTAAAAAAAGAAACATATTAAAAATACATGCTAGTACAATATATAGCATATATGTTTCTCAGTCAATATCACCATTACACAAATACATATATACATGCTTGACAAAAAGCTTATTTTATCAGGTATTGAAAAGTAAGACTAGGATAGAAAATGTAGAAAGAAAATACTGTTTAGAAAAATATAGTCAATAACAAATACATACAAAGTAGAAATTCACATTGTCATAAAGAAAAACAGGTTATCATTACGGAAAAACAACAAGGAATGACTCTTCTTTAACTTTTGGATATGTTCAAGGATAACAACGTTAATAATGCATCAGAGTTCAATAAATGACGTTTACTTGCAGGAACTAAATTAGTAACCGTTTGAGTATCGGATTCAACTTCCTAAACAACATGTAATCATGTTTTACTAACTACTAAGATTTATGTCGTCACAAGAAGACAAAGCCGTAAATTGAAGGGAAGGAGGGCATCCACAACCCCCAAAAATAAAAATTTATCGTTTCCTTCCAGCGCACAGTGTGCATCCAGGCAGACATTAGGTAAAAAAATCAAAACTGACTTTTAAACGACTCAAATAGTGAACAATACACTTCAAGACATGCTCTCCCCGACTGCATAAAAAATTTTGTTATAAAGTCCAAGCGGAGTGGAAAACTTAAAAACGAGCCGGAAAATAGCGTCATCCGTAGGAAAATTACTTTTACGCGAAAACGAAGACTCTGGTAAGTAAATGAGTTGTAAATTATGAATCTCCACATCATTTAGTGTATATTAGTAAAAAACATTTTGAGTTTGAATTGGAGATTGCTGAGAAAAAAATAAAGTTTTTCCTAAGTGGTTTTCCGAACTGCTAATTTCGGTAAGATTTGCGCGCCCTCCACAGCCCAACTTCAAATTTGTCCAAACTTATACAGAATGTTCTTCTAAATGCCCTCTATCAGCATAGTTCGCATAAATTAGCATAAATGTTCCCGGACTTAGATATTTTTTTCGGTATTTTCCATTTTTATCGGCCTAGAAATGTTTTTATGCAATAAAAATGATATATTTAGAGTCAGCGCAAGAAACTACATCGAATGATGTGCGATTAGTAGGTTTTTCTGAGCAAAAAACTTGTTAGATCTAACGAAACGCTAAAGTCGAAGCATAGAGTCACAATTTTGGCTAAGGATTTTGATATTTGCTATAGAAGTAGTCCAAAAGTCTATAAGCACTTTTTTTTAGAGGTTTTCAGATATTCTCTTTCCAGTGGTGCGCTTTATAAAGTTCCAGAATACTTATTCATGGGTTTTCTAGAGACCTCCGAAGAACCCAGGTGAAAGTCTCTTTGGACTTTGTAAACACACCATTTGAAAGAGAATATCTGAAAACCTATTAAAAGAAGTGTTTATAGACTTTTGGACTGTTTCTATAGCAAATGTCCGCCTGGCCTAAGGAAAAATGCACTGTGCAACGGAAATTAAAAAAAATTTTCATATTGTACATACTTTTAATGCTTCACAGACTATTTCTAACGTTTCATTTCCAAGTATTTTTCTCAATTCTTCTTTTTTTTTATGATCTAATCTCATTTTATATACCAAATTTTCTTCATCTTCTTTATTATACCAAACATCATCATCAATATCGTCTATTATGACTGAATTGTTGACACTTTTTTTACTTATAACATCTTTTGATTTAATCATTAATACAGATTCAGCTGATGAATGCTTTATTTGATTATCTAAACTATTTTTATTGCCTTCTTCTTCATCATTCTCAGTTAAGTATGATGCTAGTGTATCACGCAATGTTTTCATATCTAAATACATTACCATAAGAGTTTTTGAAGGGACACTTCCGTAACATTTCCTACCTTCGTCTTCATCTTCATCTTCAACGTCATTCGAAATTTTGTTTGCATAGCTGGATGTTGGCTCATGAGCAGATTTAATTGTCATATTTGATGATATTTGTCTTACTTCAAATTGACTTTTACCACTCTTATTCTTCAATGATAATGGCAATTTTTGCTTACTGAGTTGTTCATGATCTTCATTCTCAGTATCCGATAAACTGTGATTAGATTTTATTTCAATGAAAACAACTTTGTGAAGTTCAGGATCGGATACAGTTCGGAGTAGCTAAAAATGACATAATGTTTTCATTTCATCAGTCGTATATAATAAACTAAATAAGTGGCGGATACAGGATTTTTTAAGGAGAGGTGCGATTGCTTGAACTTTTTAGGCTGGAAGTCCTAATAGTGTTTTTTTTTTCTTTTGAAAATATTTTGGAACGGAGGTGCGATCGTGCCAAGCGCACCTCCCCTAAATCCGCTACTGAGCTAAATGTTCCTTATTATGAAAAAAAATTTGGCTAACACTTGTCCATACTTTCTTGTTTTTCGCATCGAAATGACCAGTGGATAAACCTTGAAATAAATCAATTTTTTCCTCTGACAACCTCAAAACAGATAAACTTCCAAATAATGTCGCATGAATTTCGTTTTTGTAGTTAGTTACTTTATACTGGATGTAACAGGAAGATCACGACCTTTGACGGTTCGATTTGTTTTAGTTGGTGTAAGCGGTTTGTTGATGATAGTATTGTCACTTTTCTTCTTGTCCGCAGAAGTAATTACTTGTGCACTTTCTTCATCGATACGTTCTGTACGATTTTTCAAACCGAATGACGACAATGAATCTGTTGTACTTGTTAATGTTACATTGTGTACTCGCACTTTTTCAAGTACATTCAATATTGTTCCTTTTGGCACAGCCCATTGTGATCGAACTGCAGCGTTCGTCGCTTGATCAGGGATAGCAAGGTTAGGCACATTAGACACTTAAAAAATGTATTTAATTATATACAAACACATAGTTTTTTTCTACGATACTCACAAATTGAATCATTCATTGGAGAATATTTATCTAATATTGATACGTCAGCAGTATGCTCACTCCACTGATGTCGTTGTTGTGATTGACTTTGTTCTTTTCGTTTCTCTTGAATAGCTTTATCAATCGATTGCTGTAAAATAACTTCTTTCTTCACAACATTTCTACAATTTATGAGATAAATATCATTTTATATTGTTAATTCGACAAATAAAAATTTACTTTGGTGTTACACCAATATCATTTAATATTTTTGTTAAGCTGTTCTCAACCGGTTGAATTTTTTGTAAAACTTCTTGCACTTCTTTCTTCTAGAAATGCAATGATATTAAATGTTAGAAAGAAGTGTAGAAAAATAATGAGATTAAACATAGGTAACTGAACGACAAGAATAACTTCTCACTTTTCTTTCTGCCTCTATCGCACCATCACGACTATGTGCTGACCGATGTCGTTCATTAACAGGTGCAACAGGCTAAAATCAAACGAATATTAATATATAAAAGAGGTACGTTCCAAGGTTATACAATCAGAGATAAAGAAATGAAACTGATCGACTTACCTTGACAATTATTGGCTTTTGTGGTGATTTTACATTATCGTAAGCTGATGGTTTTTTAATATTGTGATGCTTCATCAAATTTTTTCGTCGAATTCGTTCCAAATTACGATTCATTTCAGCGAAGTTATCATTAACAGGTTGATTAGGTTTTAATGCATTAGCATTATTGACCTTTTTATCCAAAAATAAATATTATTTTAATTCTGATCTGTGTTGTTAAACAAAAACTTACTCGCAAATTGCCCTGCTCATGAACTTTATTCAATTGCACGTGATGTTTGTTTTCAAGGTATTCGTTTTTTACTGGAACGGGAGGTCGTCCGACATTCACACTAAATTAAATTGTATATTTAGGTATATAAGATATAGAACTTAATTTAATGAATTGTGACGTTTATACATACGCAGGTGGTGGACGATTTTTGCAATTGGCTATAACTAGTTGTTGATTTTGTGCATGTGGAGTCTGTTTAGTTACATGATCGCCTATAACAAGATATCACAAATTATAGAATCATATCAGAAACATCTTCTGAGTTATTGAATTAAAGTGAAAGAAAGTTGCGAGTATTTAATGGTCCTTTACATTATCAAAAATATGATGAGAAAGCAAGATGATGATCTCTTTTATTAACTATACAGTGACTCTTGCGTTGCATTAGTTGTATACTTAATCTTCATTCATTCATTCATTTTTATCCTTCGATCATTCGATGAACATGTTGATCTAATTTAACATAATAAAATTTATAGCTACCTCCTTTGCCATCAACTGCTGACGATAAATTTGAAGCAGCCTACAGACAAAAATTAAAATCACACATAAGTCTCGTGGTCTGATGATTAACAAATATACCGATTCCCGTCCAGACGATGTTGAGTTGCTACTACTCAACGGTTCGTTTTTGTGCTCAAATAAAGCAGCAATATAACAGCAATATAGTTTTGTAATAATTTAATCAAAACGATGTGAAATACTTACTGGGAGAAGAGCGGGTGTAGAAACAACCACTTTATTTGACTTTAAGTCCTTAGAAAGTAAAAATACCCATGCATTAATAATTAGATTATTATGCAATACGTACTTGTGCATTACTCTTTGGATTCTGCTGCCCGCCTAGTCGATCTTTATTCGCTCGTATAATCTACAAAATGTAAATATATTCTTTTTCTTAACAAAAAATAGTTTAAAAGTAGACCTGACCTTCTCTTTGTCACTATGCTCATGTTCTTTCTTGTTCGAATTGTGTGGCTGCAATAATAGCACATTTATTGAAAGTGAAATATTAATTCAGTAAGACGGACCTCATTCTGTACTTGTTCATCACGTTGTTTTTGTTGTTCAAGAATTTGTTGTCGACGTTTGTTAATCTCAATTTCTTTATTGATAGATGCGGGACGTTTATTAACGTCGACAACTTTTTTCTCTTGTAAATTTCTAATTAAACATAATACATGCACAAATAATAGATTATTCATTATCAATAAACTCACCTATTCTGATTTTGAACGGAAATTGGTCGTTTACCGATAACAGGATTATCATACACTTTGACTGGATCATACAAAGGTGTTTTGGCCGCTGCAGGTATCATAACCGATGGTGGTCTTGCCGGAGGAATTCCATCAGGACGAGAAATTACCGCTTTCGGTTGATGTACTGAGAAAACAGAAAAATAACATAAATGAATTCTCATATCATATTACTTTATATAATTGTTACTTGGTTGCTGAATAGGTACGGATAAAATGTTAACAATGACTTGTTTACCATGCAACACCGTGTGGTTAAATTCTTCCCGATATTGCTATAGATAAAAAACAACAACAAATGGTTTACTGCTTTCCAGAAAATTACTTCACCTACATCATCTGGTAGAAATTTTGAAGTTCGCGCAAAAATAAACGGTTTTCTTAAAATATTATTTACAGATGGACGCTCACTACAGAATAAAAAATAAAACTATTTACTGAATAACATCAACTTATATTTGAGATAAATCACCGTGGATCTCGTTTCAACATTGATGAAATTAAAGAACGTAGTTCGACACTGAATTTTGGTGGCACTCGGTTGAATTGGCCTCTACAAATATAGAATATTGTCTTGGAGAATATAAGAATATACGTAAGATAGGTTAGAGGCTTTTCTTACCGAATAATTTTTATAAAAATACCATTCATATTCTGAGCAGTAAACTAAAAGTAAAGCTTTATTATTGTACGGTAATTTACGGCATGTTTTTATGAGTGCCTACGGGATGTCTCAATGTTGTCAACTCGTATAAAACACAACCTAACGACCAAATATCACTCTTGTTATTATAAGGTTTGTGTTGACATATTTCAGGACTAAGGTAATAAGGTGAGCCAGCTTGAGTTTTAGCCAATTCCATCGTTCTGAAAACAAAATAAAAAACAACATAGCATTAAAACAGCAATGATCTAAACAAAGTGTCTTTTTTCAATTATCATTACACATTTACTGCATTTTATTCTTAAGTACTAATGAACATAAGAGCTAAAATAGACACATCATCAATGGGTGAACTTACGTGTTCAGCACTTTCGCAATGCCAAAGTCACCTAGTTTACAACTGCCATTTTTCATTAAAAATACATTCTAAAGAGAAAAAACAAAAAAACTTCGAGAAAAATGCCTGTATCTGAATCTATTCATTTACTTCTGATTTAATATCTCTATGTAATACTTTTCTATCATGGACATGTTTTAATGCTAATGTTATTTGAACAAACCAATCCAGAATTTGATCTTCATTAAAAAGTACACCCCGTTGTGCTTGTACTTGAGAATGTAAATCACCACCATCACAATAATCCATAACTATGTACAAACTACTTAAATCTAAACAATCATGAAATATAAATAGCAACGCCGAAGTTGTTACCCTGTATTACTATACCTTCAAAGGATTCTGTATACGATACGATATATGGATGTTTCATTTGAGCTAATAATGCGATCTAAAGAACAATGAGATAAACTTTAATTAAACATTAATTAAAAACATCGTAGCAAAAAACTTTACTTCTTTTTTTGCATCTTCACGTTCTTTTTTGCCCATCTGAATTGAGAAACAGGCCAATAGATAAAAGAATAAGTCATATAAAAGATTGTTTTGCAGCTTACTCCTGTTGTATTGATTTGTTTCATGACCAAATGCTTACCATCGACCTTGCTTTGCACAAGCCATGCTCGACCTAGGATGTAAATACATAGTGAGAATGTAGTCGCATTCAAAATGTCAACCTTACCAAATGTGCCCTCTCCAATTTTCTTTTGTTTTGCATATTTTTCCATGTGACGTTTTCTATCTTGTCGTGTTCAATAAACCATCTAAATATCAACATATTTGGACTGTTTCCTATGTACAGGTTTTGCGTTTGTTTTCAGTTTTTATATACTGTGCAACGCGCATCAGTCACATCCCAGTTGTTGACTACACACTTCAGTCCCGATTGCGATTTGAGTAAACGCTCAACTATTCTCACTTATTTTTATGGCTCATTTTTTTAACGAGTTTATATTAACATTAATATAGTTTATATCTTATATTTATCAAAAATCGATTAACATTTATTTCACGAGTATAAAAAATAAACTTTTCCCCCTGAATTGGTTAGAATTTACTGTTCCTCAACTGAAGTTTTCTTATTTAGAGAATTTTCCTTTGTCCTCTTTCCAGATATGAATAGAGAAGAATAAAAGTAGTTCAATTCCGTTATTTACGCAAAAATTAAATGAGAAAATGTCTGCACATCGATCGAGAAAATTTTTTTAAGAGTTTGAGTTAAAAAAGAACGTAAAGGAAAGTACAATCTTAGTGGACTTTCTATAAGGCAGAGTTGATTCTGCCCTCTCAACGTGAAAAACACAGTAGATTTCACATTTTCAAAGTGGATTTATCCATTTTGCTACTGTGTGATTCATTAATCATCAGGAACGCCGAGGATTAAGTAAGTATCAGTAGTAATTGGTGGATAGTTGTCCATCATAGAGTTCAAAGTCAAAGAAACGACCTTTATTACATACAGCAGGATAAGAGTGTTAGTGGAAAGTTCCAAATAATAACACGTAAGTAAATATTTTACATCAGAAGAAGAACGAACTTCTCTTTGCTTAACATCCGCTATTTCTGTTCTTGTATAGTCATATCAAAAAGAGGACTTCTGATTGGTTTTTGTTGTAACGCAATCACTGCAAGCCATGAGTTGTCATTCTTTTCTTACGATGAATTCTGGCATGGGTTTTAACAAAAGTGTCTGGCGTTTTAATCCTTTAGTGGATGATCACCTGGAAAATCAGATAACATGTCTGTAACTCGTCAATCCTTTAAACGGCTGACGTAGCCAGCTACCGATGTTACAGTTTTTAACCACTAGAGTGCAAACAAAGGACAGGTAGTTTCCAGCGCAAATGCCTCATGATTTCTGGGTCACATATTACTAGTTAAAATAGATACTGACTGTACTACAAAACACAAAATTGCGGGGAGGCAGAAGCTCTTCAAAATATAGAAAGACATTTAATCTGCTTGAAAAAACCGATGAAAATTTTTAAAGAACTACTTTTCTACGGTCCTTTCCATGTTTCTCTTGTTTGCCGCTAACATTTTCTTCGACTCACTTTTATCTTATTAGAAACAACTACAACTAGGAGTATTTGCTCGTTTGCGGCATCCAACTCAGATCCTGTCGATACTGTTCAATCTTTTCTCTTTTGATTCCGAGGACGATCAATGGTTTTTGACTTATTTATAGTACACAAGACATTTTTTATAATCTTCAGATTACCTTAGCTAGTTGGAGTTTACAAAGAGAATGATTGACATCGAATGGCCATTCGGAACTCATATGGTACGTATTGAGCATAATCTATCCAAATTTCAATCAGTGTATTTTTGTATTATTCCAGGATTTTAGTGGTCAAAAACTGGCTGAACGTTTATTTCAAATTATTATTGTTGTGTTTGCTGTATGTTTTTTATTATTATCACTGCTAGATTTCCGCAATTTATTATGACTTTAGAACAAATAGTGTGAAAAAAAAAACAAGCATTCACCTTCTGCGTGGAGTACGCAATTCAGTTTAGTTTTTAAGTTCAGAGAAGAACAAAGATTAACCAGAAAGCTCAGACCTCTTCTTACTGCTGGTTTAACACTTGCATGTTATTAGTAATTCTTTCTCAACAAAATAACATGTTTCTTCTCAGATTGTTGGTTTTATATTTGGTTATATTCTTCAACGATTTTCAATAACAATTTATATTGTCTTAATAGGTGTTGCAATATCCGCAGTGGTATGTTTAACATATTTATGTCTCAAAACATGATAATAACCTTGTCAATTTTCTTTTTCTTTAGTTAACATTAGCGCCATGGCCAATGTATCGAAATCATCCAGTTGCATGGCAAAAACCAGAAGTAACAACGGTAACAAAAGAAAAAGAGAATGCTAATAAAAGTGGTGGCAATAAAGGAATTAAAAAAGAAACAAGAAAAAAACCCAAAAAAGATGAGTAGCGTAAATGAATAAAAAAAATCTCATTATTTTTGTTTCTTTCTTGTGAATGCTTCGTTTTTGTTAATCTATTTGTTGTTTGCAGTATAAAAATAAATACAGTTTAAGTCGAAGTCCCCAAGTTACTCTTCCACAAGATAATATGACTTTTATTTTCACTCTTGCGGATTGAAAGTACTTCGGCTATCATTTTTTAGCTCTATTCTGAAGAAAATCAAATCTGGCCGGAAATCCACTTTTTTCGTATGAAAAATACATGAATAGCTCCAGCGTAACAGCTAATCGTGACTCATTACATTTGAATAAAAAATACTTGTTTTTCTAATTTATAATTTTCACAAACTTTGTTTTATATTGATTAATCGGTTGATTGTTCACAATCGCTCATTATGTAGCAACAACTATAATATCTCTATTTTCTTCATAAACAAAACAGAATAATTGATAGATAACAAGTTAAATGAGACAAAAATTCACGCTTATGCTAGACTAGCATCTATGTTGGACTTATCAAATTTATCCCATAAATGAAAAGTCAGTGAATGCATAAATATTCTAAAACCACCATGTATTAACAGTAACGAAACTCACTGTACAACAAAGATATTTGATTTAACTTCATTCGTTGCAGATGCAGAAGAGAGTGATAAAAAAAATTTCATATAAAAGAAGGCTGCTTTAAAACCGTATAAATATGTATTTTTATATATTCTCAACAAATAATATAACCTGAGATCGTCAAAAATTTTACTATCACTTCAACATTACAATCTAAGAACAGAAAAAAAAGCATAAGCAAAGAATAGAAATGAAGAATTATAAACAAAAAAGATACTATCAAAGAGAGAGAAAAAAAGTATAGATGCATACAATATGATCATATAAAATAGGGAAACAGAAGGATTGGAAGCGTGCTAAGTATTTTGTGTTTGCTGTCGTAAATGTGTGAGAAAAAAGAGAATCAGATATACATCTTTTTGAAAATCTTTGTTAATGATATCGACCCCAAATATCAGGGAGACTATAAAAACTCATTTTGTATAATTATACCATTCAAGTAAATATACAACGTCTGCAAAAAACTTCAAAATAAAATTCTGTTAATCATTTTTAGTGCTTGTTGTAGTATCACTATTCCAAAACCTCATACAGAAACTGGTATTCTGTTTAATAAATCCTAAATTAATGTTAATACATGAAAAAATTCATAATCTAATCCCTTCGTACTTACGCGAATTCTTAGCCTTCACATACTTTTCATTATAACGGGAGGGCCCAGAATAAAATGCCCACTTTTGTTCGTTGTTTTTAAGACACTTTCAAGAGGTAGCCCAAAGAGTTGGTTCTAAACTCATTCGATAAAGAATTGAATTCTCTACAAATCTGCTATTTAAATCTCTGATAGCATTTTTATCGTTTGAGCACCATTCAAATTGAATAGTACTGAGTTGTCGAACTGCAACATACTGAAAATAGAAAATATTTCAAAATTAGATTCTGTACCGCACCGGAAAATTTCGCATCTTCTCACATATTTTCTTTTTTGAAATTCAGGAAAATTTCTGTGCAAAAAAACTGATAAATCTTAAAAAACCTAACTTTTGATCCTATTTTTCACAAAGTTTAGTTTTTTAACTATAAAAGCAGTAAAACGGTCTGAAACCAAGATTTTAGTCTTATTATCTTACACAGACTTAAATTCTGCATCTTTTAATACATAAACAACGTTTCTCAACTGAAATCATTAATTACAAAAATTGAAAAGCCAGTTGAGAACTAATCCGGCTGACGTAGCGGAAACATTGTATGAAGTTGTAAATGAGTGAGATCGACAGAACATAGAATTCTCTATCTTTGTACATAGAAAAATGAACTATTGAACCTCAGACAATGGGCTAAAAGTCAAAAAAAAGGAGACGATAAAAGCACGTCGTCGTTCGACAACTCATTCAATTTGGATAGCGCTCAAATGAGAAAAATGCTATCAGAGATTTAAATAGCATGTTTGTAGAGAATTCAGTTCTTTATCGGATGAGCTTAGAATCAACTCTTTGAACCACTGGGAAGTGTCTCAAAAACAAAGAACAAAAGTGAACATTTTATTCTGGGCCACCCGTTAGATACATTAGAAAAACTTATTGAGAGAAAGGAAATTATGCTCAAAATGAACACATTACGCTTAGATTTTTGCTTGTGAATTAACATAAAAAGAAATTGCTTTCCAAGTCTTGCATCATTAACTAATGAAAAATCTGAGTTTCTTACGACCATAAAATTTGGTTCCATCTATAGCTATTTCTCTCCTTTCTATATATGTCAGTTTATTCTTCAAATATGACCTTATTAATCGTTAAGCGGAGTATTTTAGCTCGACAGGTCAATCATCACTATACAGAACAGCTTTGCTATCCATATCTTTTCTTTATTATTTGTTGTTTTCTTTATTGTTTGTCTGTGTATTGTAGATTATAGACGTTATTTTGCTATTGTTTTTCTTTATGTAATCCCAGATAAAAAAAACCTACTGATAAAATTTGACAGAAACAGAAAAATGAATATTATTCTCACGTTTTTGACATGGCAATATGACCCAATTCAATTTGCCTTATGCATTCGAAAATAATAATTATTTGCGGTTACCTACTTATTAAATAATTTTTTTGTCTACCAAAGGAACTACTTTAATTTAAGCATATCATTTTAAAATTGTTAAAGTTTATTCACTACTCAAAATTTAAGAGAGACCTCACTAGTATTTCTCTAACTTTTGTAGATATTATTTCACACATATTAAATATTTCCATATAATCGTAGCCAAATTATGATAGTGTAAACTTTTGTCAATCTTTTCTCTTTATTGCTTACAATGTCTTCTTTTTTTCAGAAGATAAATAAATTAATTACAAACTGATATAAGCATCTAGCTGCTCAAAACTTTTGCTGAAAACAAAAATAATCACACGAACTTAGTACAAAAAGAAAGCAATTCAAAAACAGAGAAAAGTAGTTTATACAGAAAAACATTCATTTGATTTTCATTCGTAATTGAGATTAATGCAGACAAATTACAGTAAACAGGGGTATAAAAACTTGGTTTAGAAAAAAAAAATAATTTATTTAACGTTTTCTTGGTCGATTATCATCTAAATCATCGTCTGTAGATGCAGCAGCAGCATGACGTGGAGATGTTGCTCGTATTTGATCGTCTGGTGTATTACGATTTTCATATAATAATATATTCAACGTTTCTTCATAGACTCTGGCTTCAAAAAATTCAACCTAAAATTTAAAAACGTTACTTCTTTATATTAAGAGCAAATAAATATCAAGCCATACTATTTACATAGCACAAAATGGCCAAATTAAACGCTATAAAAATGCCGTTACATTATAGACTTCTTTTACGTTCTGATAAAACAATATGAAATAGAAATAAACATACTTTGTTTTGTTTTCGTTCTGTTGCATAAACAATTGATGTACAACAAACTTCTGCTACTTTTTGGCCATTACCATAGAAACTCCAACAACATATTTCCTCACTTCCGGTTACATCTTTGACGAATAATATTCTGTTGTGCAAACGTATACTTAATTTATCAAATAATTCAATGTTTTTCATTAACATTTCATCTGATGTACTAAAAATTTAAATTAAAAAAGGCTAAATAAACATAAAACAACATCGATCCAATTTGTTTTATTTAACATTATACCTTGTATAAGAATATTTATTGTTGTGTCTGTTAACCATTAATTTTACTATCGGTTTTCGAATTGTATTAATTAAATTTGGTAATTCTTTCGCTGATGTTAACATGATTACTTTACAACAAGCATTTATTGTATCCGTATCAGCAAATTTTTTATGACGAGTTTTCATTTGTTGTTCAATTAAATCTTGTAACGGTTGCATACAATAAAATTTTGCTTCATTCAGTAGTTCATTTAATGTTTGTGTACATTCCGGTAATATAATGGTTCCATCACGTAGATAATTTAATAATAAACCAAAATGTTTGCCATCTCTATCAATCAATACCCAACCTAAATAAAGATAAAAGTAATAGTAGACAATATAATACATTACTTAAATGTATTATCTCTTACCTTCGCTATCTTGTACAACTTCCATACGGCCACTAAACATAGCTCTTAACATGTTGTCTTGTTTTGTTAACGTATCAAAACTTGTTAAATATAAAGAATTACCAACATTTAATTTGATATATTTACTGGAATAATTCAAAACAGCAGGTTTTACTGCCTGAGTGGAAACAGGAAGAGTTGCAGAGTCACTCATATCTAAAAATATGATCACAATTGTATCGTATCCTAAAATTTGCATACTATCTCATCCAACAACAGTCATTGTTATGACATTATGACATGCAGCAAATACCAAAGCATTAAAATTGTTACTGATTAAGTAAGTTATCCTTCAGGTCAAACCTGACTGTCCTTTTTCTCGTTTTTTGTTCTCAAAGTACTAGATTATCAAACGTTCAGACATATATACTTTAGTCATTTTTTTAACATGGGAACATAAAATAATTAAAGTTGGGATTTGTTTCTTAACAATAACAGCAACGGGGAGAAAAACGTTTACTACATCAGACTGAAATTGACAAAAGAGTGGAAAAAGTTTATTCCATTGCTAACATCGTCAACAAGTGTAGAACTGGTTTTTGAATTCAAATCCCAGTTGATGAAATACTTTCAATGTTAAGAAAAAACTCTTCTTCATTGACAGAAAACTTAATAATCTTTTTCTTCTTTCCTTGCTTCACTCATACCTTTTCTTGAGTCCAGAGTACCACAAGTTTCTGTTTAAACTATTAGATACATTAAAGCATAAAAGCTAACGCTTCACCAAAGCATAAAACATACAATATTTTTTAACTCATTTTTCAAAATATTTACAAAACTAGATATACAAAAGCATACAATAAAATAGGCTAAATAATGTTTAGTACATCTGCATGGTTAGTTAAAGCAATACTAATCAGGAAAAAAAATCGTATCACTAGAAGACCTAAAAAGTCTTCTTAAATGTTTTCTTCATAATAATAGAAGAAAACACGAACGATTTTTTTGCCAGTTTAAATAAATCTAAGAACAAAATAATGTTCTTATAGTAAAATAAAAAAATAGTTCGAAAAGTATTTTTATCTACGAATATAAATATATATATATTTCGTGCAATGTAATTTCATTAATAGAAATTGACTAGAGAGTTATAATAAATCTTCATTATCTTTCACAATTGAATCTTGCATTTACACATAAAAAACAACAATATAATATTCACTTTGTTTATTGACAAAATTAGAACAATAACATCGACAAACATTCGATTGTATTCATCATCATGCCATGCAAGTTTACGTGAGCGTCGAATGTATGTAGAATGAAAGACAATAGAGAGACTGTTCAAATGAAAACTAGACCGTTCTATAGAATGTTTAAGTAAAAAGACCTTTAACTGATCGAACAGTTAAATACCGAACTGAACGAAGAAAAAAAAAGTAATAAGAAAATATATGAGCCTCAATCACAATAATAACCTTTTATCCATTGAAATCATTTAGTAGATAAAACTCTCTGAGAAAATTTAACAAAGCAAGAGATTGGTCGATTCTGGCTCTACTGCTTAAGCTTCGTAAAAGATGAACAGTTTTTCAAATGTACATGATTGTACATCGAATATACAGCAACGACACTATTACAGAAGAAGAATAGAAAGTTTGTATAATTTGAATATTTTAATAAAGTTTTAAATGTCGAGTGATATCGTTGATAAAACGTGATGGAGCTGAAAAAAGCAACAGATAGTTAGTAATTATCACTTTTGAAAATATCAGGCACAGCAAACTTACCCGGACCGATGCCGAGAACTGTTTTGCTTCCAGGTTGAATTTGTGTTCGTCCTGCGTCTCGAATCAAACAGGTTGTTAAACCTCGTCCTTTTGCTTGTAAACGAAGATCTTCACTATAAACAAAAATATGGCAAAAAATTCTATTAAATTCTAAAAAATCAATAAGATAAAATATACATACAGTTCAGCGTCGCTGTCGCATTTGACAACTATCTTCGGTTGTCCCATACTATACCATGTATCAACAGCATCTGGTGTTTGATCACAAGCTTTTTGAAAACATCCCAATGTTGCATGAGAACACTAAAAAATCGGTGCTAAGAATAAGCAAAAGGAAGGAGACCGGTACAACGTTAAAAATACCTGAGCAGCAACTTTGCCTTTACCCATTTTCAAGTCATTTCTCACTACAAGGACAAGCTAAATAAACAAAAAAGCAATTGAATTTTTAAATTCCGATGGGACAAGAGTTTCCATATAAAAGTAACGTATTCACTAATCATTCGCTTCATCTACCGAAGCATAATACTGTAGATTACAAATCTGTGACAATCCAAATTAGTTAAACTTATACATACTTTGTATTCTTCATCGGCATCCGAAAAGCCAGGTTCATACTAGATTAACAAAATGAACGGCTATATTAAATTTTGAATGTTTTATCGTTTGATGTTGAATCTAACTAACTTACATTCTTTTCGTCTTCTCGTTCATCTTTTCCAATGTCAAATGCGTTAGATACTACCCGGACACTATTATTGACAAATACGGAGGAGCTAAATAACCAACCAAGAGTTAAGCCGCCTAAAATAAAAAATCATTTGATTTTAAAAATGGTTTATGTAATTAATATCTATTTCTTTTACCTAAGAATCCGGCCACTAGGCCAGCAACTGCACTTTTGTCCTCAAACCAAAGACCACCGCTCATGCGAAAACTAAATAGAAAAAAGCCAACAATCAAAGATATCTGCTTGCATATCTTGTTTATAGTTGTATTAATGTCACGTTGACACAAAATTAAAACCGTAGTATAATAAAAATCAACGTACTTCAATAAAACGTTTAAATAAATGAATAAATAAATAAATTCTTCTTTTTTATTTCGTTCTATTTAAATCAAACTTTCGGTTTTCGATGGAAATTATATAAAATATAGATCTGAAATATATACGGAGAAATCATCAAGAAACGTACATTTTATGAAAGAAAAAAAGATAGAAAGAGAGAAAATATTGTCTATTCTTTGCTTAGACATGCAGCGTTGCATATAAACATATGTATGAATGTACAAAAAAAAATATGTCTTGCACAACAACCGCTCTCTCGTGCCTATCGTTGTTTTAAGGCACTAACAGATGTAAACAGAGAACTGATAAATGCCATTATAGGGGTGACATTTTAACAGAAGAGAAGAGAGTTAATCACAAAAGAAGGAAGTAACGATTACCTTTATATGTTTCTGAATTATAGCGTTTCATCGCAGTTTGAGATGGCAGACGCCCTTCTGAACATTTTTCTTTCGTCTTAAATCGATCAAATATAACCTTGAGTTGAGATACGAAAATATTTAACAAAAGTCTAATGGAGAGAAAAGAACTACAATACGTAAGCTCTCGCTTTATAATGGTATGATGATACTCTTGTTAATGAGAAAGTGTTACAAAAAGAAAAAAAGTATTTACTGATATATATAAAATTTTTATTCCCTTCAGGTACACAATAATTTATATATGTACATCTCTCTATTTGTTCCCTCTACAGTCATGGTTACGCGGACAACAAACACCTATCCAAAAGTGTAATGATAATAATGGAAAAATATTTCTTGAGTATGAGTACAATTACAATACATTACAAATGGATGCAAAACGGAGAATAAATGAAAAAAATGCGTATATATAGGATTAAGATGTGTGAATGAAGAAATATCGATCATGTCCTTCAAATAAAACAGTATGGATGTGAATTAAACCTAAAAACTCAAGTAAAAATAAAATATACTTAATACACTTGAGAAAACAATTTCTTACCCTTAAACTAAATTTATCATTGTCCTGTGAGTAAGAGGAAAAAACTTAAGAACAAATAAGAATAAAGTTCAATCCAAAGAATGAATAAATAGCTTAGAACACTTTTTTTTATAAAAAAAAAACAAATCACTTTAAGCTTATAGACAGCAGGATTAGATGCATTTAGCAAATTTATAATAATGGAAAAAACAGTCATCCAGATGAAAAAAATGTTTTAGCGTGATATAATGAACAGTCAAACCAAGTAATCTAAGATTAGTAAAAGTCATTGGATTTTAAAACGAGAGTAGACAGTTGTAAATAATATAATGGTAGATTAACAAAATAATTTGTTTACTATATGTGTATATTTATCCAAGAATACCCACTACTTGAAATATCAGAAACTGTTTTAAGAGGATAATTAAATTGAACCATTGATCTTATTTATATACAGAAATAAACAATATTCGATTTGAAGACTTGTAGAAGAGAACTCATTATTAAAACCGAATTGTGCAATATTAGAGAGTTATAATATCTGTACTTTTTAACAACTGATGTAAAATATCAGAGAAGAAAGGTCAAAATATCAATCATATCCTTGTTTTTATCCTTTACTGAGGACAAGAAAGTGCTTAAACATACAAACAATATTTCTTCATACAACCGCTAAATAAGTAAATCAAAATCAAAATCTTGTCTTTCATGTTTTATTGTTGACACACACTCTCATACACAAACTTTTCCAGACTCTATTGCATAAGAGAAAAGAATGCGATCCAAAACACTTTCTTAGTTGATATTGCTCGCTGTTGGATCAAAAAAACTTTTTTTCTCGAATTTGAGCTCAAAATTACTGTTTTATAATATAGTTTGCTAAATCACACTTTAATCACTAATTGAATCACTAATTGAAACTTGCATTGGTAGCTGGTAGAAAATTTGAAAAAAAACTAGCTATCAATTTTAAAAATGAGCGAAACGACAATATGACAACATGAAAAGGCAAGTATTAAGTTGAACTTACTTCATAAATGATAAATTTGGAGTGTATATTCTACAGAAATAAAGTTTTTCAACAGCGCGTCCTATGAGACATCGTAAAAAAGTCGTCAATTAAATTTGATCATCGAGAATTTTAACTGAAATGTTTTTAATCGTTTTTAATGTTTTTTAAGGATTTTGATGTCATGGAAGCAACGGCTAAAAGATAACAATCCTTTGAACGGATGACGAATCAGCAACTCCCTTGACTTGTGGTCAGATTTTAGTTATCTTTTTGTTTTCTAAAAGCCCAACGGCGGGGCTCTATACTATTCTTGTTTGAAAAAAATATACTAACGGCTCACAAAAGTCGTCCTTTTTTATTGGGTTTTAATGTGGCCAATACAACTACGTAAAAATTCTCCAATGTTGACCAGAAGTCTTTTGATTTTTAAGATTTTCTCCTGATTTTTAATTGTTTTTCTGTATCAATTTTATTTTTTCCAAAACTGAGATTATCAGTTCAGAAACAGAATTTGTGAATCAAGATTCTAAATAATTGCACATTGAAAGAGTCCGCTGTGTGCTTATCGAATGTTCGCTTCACAAGAATATGAGATTAGTGAACTGGCAATTAACCCATCGGAAAATGATAATACTATTTCATCAAAAAATATTTCAAAAAAAGTTTTTTTGAAAAAAACTATGTTTTTGAGAAAGTTATTGGATTTTTTTTGTTTTACTTGTCCAAGAAAAAATTGTCTAATACTCTCCTGTTTTTCTTCTGATTTCGAAAAAAATTTCCTGATCAACTCCTGATTTTTTACGAAAAACTAGATTTGGGCACCATGGTCAAGGTATAATAAGTAATACTGTAAATTCCTGTTCCAAACTATAACAATACAGTTATACACATGAAAAAAATGAAGAACAATCTTTCAAGTCATACTACTATCCATTTCAAAATATAGTGAACTCCGATATTTTTTAAGACCCTGCCGAATTTTGTTGCAGCATTTGTATTTAGAGAGAAGTGTAAAAACCTGATGAAAACTTAGTTTTACGGAGAATATGGTTTTGGGGTAGTTTTGACCAAAAACCAAAAAATACGTATTTCGTTAAAAACAGTTCCAAATTATTTAAAAAGGATGTGGGCGGCTAAGATAGAAGCATTTTGTTGATCTCTTACCATTAAGAGGTCAACAAAATGCTGAAAGGACTGATAAAGCATGGATTTATAAGGTCAACAGCATCGATCAAAAAACAATCGGTAAATGAAAATTTACTATGAATAGAAAATTTTAGATTAAAGTTAATCTGATCTGTGTTAAAGAGGTTGTCACATTAGAAGACGTGGGTCTTCTAATTTGTCCTGAGTTTTTGAAGATTTTAGAGGGGTCTTGTATTACGTCCCAAAAATAGTATATACTATTTTACAGTATGAACAAAGAACAAAGTCACATTTTGCTATCAGTTGTGAATAAAATAATTCTTTCTACTAAATAAATATATATCTTCGTATAGGCGTGCTAATATTTTAAACTAAAATATCGTTTTGTTAGCAGTATAACTGACGTTTTTTTCGCAAAAGTCTTAAAAACAGGGGGTGTTCTATTTCAACTATTACATGAAGAAGCCGAGAAGGGTCTTCTAATGTGACAATCCCTTTAATATTTTTACAACAGTTGTACTCTACCATGACCTCTTGTATGTTATCGTTATATTAAAACAAAGATATGGTAATATCTTGAAAATTATCGAATTATGAAAGGAATTAAAAATGAATAATATTTTATGTGGTGTAAAAAAGTTATAAAACTAGAATACTTACGAAAAGACCTAAAATATTTTTTATTATAATATGAAGAACATTCATTTTTTCGTATACTTTTTCAATAATACATTTATTGAATAAATTCTCTTCTTCATTGACTATATACGAAAGTCCTGGAAATGAGTTGAATGTAATACAAACCTACATTAATAAGCAGACAAAGAACTGAAGTGTCATTCAAAATTGTTTCTGTGTAAGATTGGTATGCTGAATACATACATACAGAATGAAATAATAATAAAAAATTTTGTTGAATTTAATGTAGAAACACAAAATTTCTTTCGTTTTTTTTATACAGATATTCTTATAATTTACCTTTTGTAATAAAAATCTTGCTCAACATAATAATTATCGTGCTCAGATCTTCCTTGAATACTCTCAAGATGTAGTCACTGCGATGAAAAATACTTAGATAGCAATGCGTGCAAACCCAGGTGAATTATAACAGGCATTAATAGCCTATCCACTGATAATTAACTGGCTAACTAAAAAATGCCTCTTAAACGATACTAAGCTATTACAAAACTGACCATTACTGCCGTCATTAATTATGCCAGTTATTCCACCGTGACGTACTGCCTAAAAATAGCATTTGATTGTACATAGCAAAGAATAAAAAAAAGTTTTATCAGCAAATGCCATTTATCGGACCATTTGAAATAATCTCTAGTGAAATTTCTTGTATCGTAAGATCTTGGGTTACAAATACCACAAGATCTTAGAATCTTGAAATTTCTTGAATTTCTCAAGTTGGCTTACAAAGCCCCCAAGTCCATTTTCTTAGTTCATTCACGTCGTCAATGCGGTCGTCGCTCCACGATCGTGCAACTCGTGTCACGATCGTTCAGAAGTCACTGTTGTCGTCACTGTTGTACTTTTCGAAAATTAGTAATTCGCAATCGTGAAGCGACAACAGCGACTTCTGAGCGAACGCCACACGACTGCGCGATCCGAGCGCGACCACCGTAAGAAAAAATTGTCATGTCGCGATCGCGTTTAATCGCGGCGCGTCTCCCGTGCAAATCCTATTCACCGTTTTGTTTTTCTTACGCGCCTGGTATATAACTCTTACTGATTTTTTAAAAATCGCGTCTTATT